TACGGCGGGACCGTCGCGTCGCTCATGAAATGGGACTGTAAGAATTCATATTTTTATCAAGCAGGACTCCGGCATTATAGATGAACCTCACATATATGTCGTATATATTGTCAAAGAATCCTCAGAATATTTGACAAGCGTCTCGCTGATCCTGGTGTTATCTCTTGTCAACTTTGCATGCGCACATAATTACTCAACACCTGGTGGATATTGCTACGCTACAATACTACACACCTGTGAAACACTAGACGACAACGGCACGAGAGTCGTGAAGAATTAGTTATAGATGAGTCAACAACAAAGATGAATGGAACATAGAAATCGAAATATCGCTTCCCTAATGCTGATCGTCTGTTTTTTCAATAGAAACGCAACAAATCCAAAGGATGAAACGAGCGCGCCATCCAGAATCTCGTATAGTAATATGAGGACGTGAGCTTGTTCCAGTTCCCGTTGCCCCGGCAGTACCAGCGACAGCGGAAAGTGTCGAGGTAGTGGCGGCAGTGGGAGGTGGTAGTTGTAATGACGATAGTGCGCCTTGAGTTGCCGCGCTGGGTTGTTGCGTGGTGTGAGTTTTTAGAGGTCGAGACGAGCTGGCAGCTGGCTTCTTCTTTCTTGCGTGATAGTTCCTCTGCGCGAAAGGGAGTCAGAAATAAAGAAGGATTGAGGGAAGACACATACAGGCTTGCCCGCTGTGTACGGGACCTCAACTATTGGTGGTTCACGCAACTGGATATCTGATCGATGTCGTCTGCGCAGTATGCCAGAGACTACATTTCGAGTCCAGCTGAGTGGGTGGGATCGGGATCGGGTGTCGGACTCATCTGCCCTATGTAGCTTGAAGCGGTTCCAGAAGGAGGATAAGCGACTGCCGGTGCGTTGACGTGGTGCTGGGGTGGGACGGTCATGTTGCCCATATGGTTGAGTACGCGAGCTCGGCAACTAACAATATATCGGTCAAAGCATTTGATGAAAGATGAAGTTCACATACATCAACATCTCGTGCACTGTCAAAAAATCCTTGAGGTATTCGACGAGTACCTTTCGTCGTTGGGACTGGTCGAGGTGTAGCATCAACCTTGGGAGCAATCTATTGTCAGTGTGATGAAGAATGAAATGTATTCAAGCATACAAGATCTGACAGAAGGCCAGCTTCTTTCATGATAGCGGAAACGTCCCATGTGTACATGTGGTCGTCATCGCAGCCGGTAATGAGGAACTTTCCATCTACAGAAAAGGTCGCGTATGTTACCGAATCTTCACAGTGGTGGAGTGGTGCTCCAATGGGCAGATTGGTTTCGAGGTTCCATAGCTGGACGGTATAGGTGTTGTGTGATGCGAGGATGTGCCCATCGAGAGATAATGAGATGGTATGGGTACCAGTATTATTGCCCGAGTCTTCAGTGAGAATTGTTGTTTGTGACCATGTGGCTGTGTCGAATTTCGTGATTTTGGATCCCCCAGCAACAAGCGTTTTTCCTTTCCATGCCAAGTACAAAAATGCAACTTCGAATGTTTTGAACAGTTCGCCTGTGTTGGCGTCCCAGATTTTTAGCGTGTCCCCGCTGGTAGCAATCATCTTGTCGTCGGGTGAGTAGCAAACCACGTTCACCAACTCTCCTGCCTTGATTGGTCCGATCATTGTTGCACCGCCTTCAACATCCCGCACTCTGAATGTTCCATCGGAGGTTCCGCTCATCACTCGTTCTCCGTCTGAACTCCAGCACACAGAACGCACTCTCTCCATATACCCCGTCCATTCTTTGATGACCTTGCCCGTGTCGATGTTCCACAATCTCACTGCGCCATCCGAACTCCCGCTTGCTACCATCTTGCCATCCGGCGACAATGCCATGGCCTTCACACTTTCATCTTTATCCTCCCATTCCTCCCCAACCTGCGTGCCCCTCTCCAAGTCCCAGACTCGAAATGAGCCATCCCATGCATAGGTGATCATCCGCTGTTCACCGGGCAAGGGCAATATGCGTCTGATACTCGTATCTATCTTAATCTTTCGGTAAGGCGTTGTCGTCAAGTTCTTGTGATTAGCAGGGGCTGGTTTCTTCATTAATTTTGTTTCGGGATCCACTTGATAGGTGCGTGGTAACTTCAACTCTTACTATCAATTGCTGTACGAATTTATCACTTACTCAGAATCCAGATATTGCACTTGACCAGAGCGAAAGCTGCGATGGAGTGGGCGTTTTCTTCCCAGAATCGAGGAAGGGTGTCGAGCTATAAGGAGCTTGTTTTCTAAGCCCCGTACGAGGTGGGCCTGCCATGCTGTATCTTCGTGTTTTGCCTCACAGCTTCGGCATGGCTATGCAGATCAGGCGCCCAAGTCCCAGTCTTCAGTATGCGCAATAAGTTCTTCATTCCAACTGACCTCCCAGAATTGCGTTTCGTAGTCTTGTTATCGACCAAATCTCTTATATGTCTCGACTCGTGCAATGCGATTCTTGTTGTTTATCCCCTCATGTTGCAATTCTGGTCGCGTGGATTGCCTGACACATCATTCTATCCTCTCCGATCCTCGCCTTCAATGTCCTACATATGCTGTTAGTCGTCGTCACCGCGCCAGCTAAATGTCAATCTTGCTCTTACCTTCCTAGCCTTTTCCCGACTCTAACCCCCCATAATCTAACGAAGGTGTCTCCTGACTCAGTGATGGCGCGTTACCTAAGGCATCTTCCCTCTCCGCCACCAGCAAGATGATTTCTCAAACGTCTATCGCCCCGTCTGCTGGGGATGATTGTGCATCGGATGTATCCTGGTGCTGTGACTGTTGCTCACGCAAGTAGTCGATTCCTGTTCAATTCTATCGCTGTGAATTAATAGAAGATTGTTCAACGACCGATAACACTAGGGCTAATGACGGCGGAAAGGACCAGTGTTGCGTCCTATGTCGCAAGTCTTCTATGGACATTGTTGTGCATAGCATGTACGGTGCCTTGTTTCGCACATCTAAGTTGCGCCTGAAATCTGACAGTGCGAGCTTACACTGGCACATGCGGACATAAACCCAATGCTCACATTTGACAGCGTCAGATAGCCTTCATAGAACGTACATAACGTCCTGCATCACATGGTAAGCTATTGCTGTAAGAGATGACAAACCACGATATTTACCTGCAGAAACTCCATTAGAAAATTGGGGACAATACCGATTAGAAGTTTGCACATGCATAGTCGTGTCCTAGTGATTAGGATTCTTGCCACGGCACCTTCCACCTCCACCTACTCTCGCTCCGCATCTTTGAGTCAACTCCAAAGATGCGGAGCGAGGATGATAATGAAGCCTAACAGGACCTGGCCTGTGCCGACACGAGTAAACTCAGGTCTTCCATATTTACCGACTTCAGCACAAGGCGGCCCTCGTAGAGCTTGTGTCTTGCGGCACACGATAAGTCAGTGGTTATACTTCAACGATATGATATATAACATTTCCTTCTGAGAATCCTAGAGAAACTCACACCATTCTTGGATGCAAGGTTGCAACGCAACCAGCGCGAAGTTGATCAAGTTTAAGACCCACCTGAGGGGCGCCTTTAACTCGATCACTCCCGCGTTGGCATACTATTTGGAGCGATACCCACCAGAAGCAGTTGGATTGACATATTCCGGGTACCAGACGAGGCTTGAAAGGACTGTCCTTGAGGGGGCTTGTGATGAATCGATGTCACAAGCTCCCACAGGGCCAATCATCCCTAACTCACTATGAGCAAATCAGTAGGTCGAATAGAGCAAGAGTGTTGTTGAGGAGTTGGAGGTGGGTGGGTTCACAACTCATACTGTTGGCGACCTTATATACGTATCGCAGGTGTTTGCATTGACCACGCTTGATTCACACCAGTGTGAGTGTATTTTTATTTATTCATTGTTAGCTGCAAGGCTTTGCCACGCCTCAGAGTGAGACATTTCCGCAATAATGTTTGTGTCTAAAGCACAATGGCGGTAGCCTACTGGCAGCCTGGTAATTCGACAGAGATTCCACATCGACAATAAAGCGTCATCCTTGTGTGTTTTGATCACAAGATCAATAAGCTGGCGATGTTTGACTGGTTGGAAATCCGGCAAGTCCACATCCAGCACAAGATCTTAACGGGTTTCGCGTATCTTTAGCTAGGTGTAGCATTGACCATACGATGATCAATGTCAAGTTACCGAGCCACGTGTTCATTTACAATATTATTGATAGAAATTATTCAAAATTCAATTAATTGTCAGGTGATGATAACACCAGACGATCGAGACGCAAAGTGACCTCGAACGAATTACATCCAGTATAAACCTCGAACTGTATATTCGAGCTAGTGATGTGCACGGCCCGGCTTCAAGCCGTGGGCCGAGCCAGGCCGGGCCCAATTAGGCCGGGCCAAGTGACGCTTTGGCCCGGCCTGGAATTCTGGAAAGCCGAAGCCGGCGGCCTGAGCCGCGGCTCTAAGCTACCTCTGTACTACTATCGATGATGACAAGAGACCAAAAATGAGATGGAATGCCGCTCTTTTCTTCACTTTCTGAAGCAGGATTTTCCAACACTCTGGATTCACTCTTCCAATTTCAGACCCAAACCCCCAGAAGTGCTCGACAGCTTCACAGAAATATTGATTCAACAATCACGGGCATCTTCTCAGGGCGCGGTCAGTGCCACCCTTCTTTTTTTTTTTTTAGACAATTGATATGTAATTGTGGCAACTGACGAAGTCTAGTTCTACAAGTACGCACTATAGCGGAGTTCTACGAACTCCGGGTGCCACCCTTCTTCGCTTCTGAGGTCTTGACATGTCTTGCTCGACATTGAGCCGACTTCTTAAACAGGTCTGTCAAAAACTCGAAGGGATGCGGTGCTTGGAATAAGCTGCGACATTTTACTAGAGGTTGATGGTGTTGAGCGTGGCCGAGGGATTGTGGACGCCTTTCTCTAAGCTGCAGAGGTGCGTGTATGGTGTGTTTTTATGCTGCTAACTACTTCGTTTACATAGATACCCAAGACATAAACCTTTCTCCCTCGTCCATTTCTTGCCCTCTTCCACTCCTTGTCTTATTCTGGTGCCTTCTGGTGTCGTTCCCATATGTCTGAGCCATGTCAGCATTCACTGATGTGCGCTGGGCATGTGCGCTAAGCACTAGCGGCTGTTGGAATCGGGTGGGGGTAGTAGATAGTAGTTTGGATGGTGCTGGTTGTGTTGTTGGTGTCTTGTCCTTCTTATGCTGACCATCTTTCTAGAAGATCCAGCGCCATACACTCATTCGCATTCCGACAGTTTCGGCGACGTTCTCGCATGTTTGCATTCATTTGCATATGTTTCTGCCACTGTATTCAGTTTGGATGCATTCGCAGACGTTCTTATGCATTGGTGTTCATTTGCAAATGCTTCCAGACATTTTTGCATATCTGTACTTGTTTTTACAACTACCTGCATGTATCTGCACATATTTGTGCAATATTTATTCAGTTCTCGGTTCTCGTCTAACCTCCTCTGAACCAGACTGAACTGGACTGCAGCAGTACTAACATTGTCATTGTCATTGAGTCACTCCTGGAGTCATGACCATCGCACTGCCTCGTGTCCTACCCGGCCAGCTCCCGCTGGCCCATCCTACCTCCCCTCCCATTGCACAGGTGAGTACTCCAAGTTCATACTTGCAGTTTTACATTTACAGTACTCGGGCCGCGGCTCAGGCCAGAGCCGAGCCAAAGCCAGCCGTCACTGGCGGCTTTGGCCCGGCCTGGATTTTTTGCAAGCCCAAGCCGTCTGAAGCCAGGCCGAAGCCGCGGCTTTCGAGTCAAGCCGGGCCGGAACATCACTAGCCGCCATTGTGCTTTAGACACAAACACTGTTGCGGAAATGTCTCACTCTGAGGCGTGGCAAAGCCTTGCAGCTAACAGTGAATAAATAAAAATACACTCACACTGGTGTAAATCAAGCGTGGTCAATGCAAACACCTGCGATACGTATATAAGGTCGCCAACAGTGTGAGTTGTAAACCCACCCACCTCCAACTCCTCAATACCACTCTTGCTCTATTCGACCTACTGATTTGCTCATAGCAAGTTAGGGATGATTGGCCTTGTGGGAGCTTGTGACATTGATTCATCACAAGCCCCCTCAAGGACAGTCCTCTCAAGCCTCGTCTGGTACCCGGAATATGTCAATGCAACTGCTTCTGGTGAGCATCGCTCCAAATTTGAGTTGACATGAGATACGACTGGCGTCGGACCGAAGGGTTAGTAGCGTAGACTTCAACCGTACTCGTCCGCAACATAGGGCGGTCCTTCGTCTCCACCGCGAGTTAGTGCACTCTGGTGGGCCCAATAAGGGGGCCAACATACTTGTGTACATGCAGCGTTGATCTGGACTAGTCTCCTTCAAGGGACGGATAATGTACATAATTTTTGCGACATAATCATTGAAATATCATCTACATCATCGTCAATATCCTCTCAGCAGTTCGTCTCCGAATTCTCCCTCTTCAGCAGGCGTAGGTGAAGCACTAATGAATGGCGTCAGGGGTGTCAATGGTGGCGAAAGGGTGACGGGCAAGGTATGGTGTTGGGAGTCTGTCATTGACCTATTGTCCGTCGCAAAATTAAACGCTGGTGTCAGGTACGCTGACAGGTTGTCAGACCGCAATCGAGAAGGTGCTGGACTGATCCTCAGACTTGACGGTCTCCAATCTTCACACACGCTGTGATGCTGTTGCTCCTCGGGAGTCACGGGGGACGACGGGAAGCGGAGGTTAGGCGACAAGCTGAAGCCCGACGGCGAATAAGGTGGTAAGGGAGACAGTTCTCCCATGCAGCCCTCTCTTTCCCTGTTATTTGTCTCCTCCCTTGTCAGCAAAGCAGGATCGATCTGGTTAATTTGTACGTTCTGAGTGCAGACTGGGCTCGACAGTTGAAGACGCTGTAGTTCAGGGGGGAGCGAATCCGAGATGTTTTCGGGCCACAGAGCGGGCAGCCTGTACTGGTCGTCCATCGTGTCGTCCCGGTATGCTTCTGCCAGACATGGTAAGTCACCTGGCTTCGCATCGGAATGACTGCACAGACTCGCAAGGTCCAAGGCCAGTGGATGCAAGCCAACGGGAATTTGCCTCAAATGTATGCCGTTGAGGTCTTCCAGCCGTGAATCAAGCAAGGGTGGTCGGGGACGCAAGAGTAGCTTAGAGCTTCGCAAGTACAAGGACGGTGAAGGGGTGGACGGAGAGCCGTTTGTAGTGTCAAGGGAACAGGAGACATCCCCAGTTTGATCGAGTGGGGATTGATCAAGTGGACCTCCGGAAAACTGCCAACCTGTTTCAGGGGAACCTGACCGGCACAGCGAACCTTTGGTTTCCTCAACTTGCTCCTCATTCAGCTCGCGCGAGGACATCTTCCCCTGGACTAGTGCAATAAGTTCTGGGTTTCCGCTCCGTTTGAAGGTACATGTAGGACAAGCTTTGACGAACTGTGCAGTAAGCTCTTTTGGGACCCATGAGTAGTGCTGGCGGATTATAGCGCAGGTTTTGTCCCGACCGCCGTGGTTGGACTCTTCATGGCAGTAGCAGAAAAGTTCGTATAGCTGCTCCTGAACCGCGACCGGTCTGTTCTCATGGAGGATAACAACTGGTACTTCGTTGTCGCCATCCTCTGTGTCGGGCGTGCTGAGCGTGAACATCTTGCGGACCCAGAAGCGAAACTGTGGTGTCCCGATAGTGCATGCGTCCGGTTGGTGTAGTACATCCCAGATCTTGTCGAACATGCACTGAGATATGAGGGCCTTGTCACGCTTCCGCGGGGACAGCGACTGTAGGTATGCCATCTCTATACGTTTGTACTGAGCGTATGTAGGAAATCCAGGTTTGTCCGCCGTAACTAAGATTGGTGAGGGAAGGCATTCGTCACCGTCCTGGTCATCGGAAAGTGCAGGACTGGAAGAATGCGGAAGCCGCTCGTATGACTTTGATCCGGACCGAGCGCGAGATTTTCGCTTTCGTGAGACAGCGGGCATTACAAAAATGATTTCTTTTGTAGGTTAAAAGAACGTGAAGTAGCTGTGAGGGGATGGTGGTAAATGACACAGGACGATAAGGGTCGAATAAGCTAGCGGCTGACCGTGACGCGATTCCTCACGTGATTGAAAATCAACGAATCAAATATTGTGATTATAAGTATCTATACCAAAGGTAAGTAACAGTCGTGAATGTAATGAGGATATGTGCAAAATTATGACGTGCAAAGTCCATGTGCAAGAACCGTCAGTAAAATGTGTGTGGTGCAAGAATGATATGCAATGAAATAGCCCGAATCCCCATAAGCAAATGATGCTGTATGTCGTGAATGTACGGATGGCGTGGATAAGTGCTCAACACCCTCCGTTCAATCTGTTCTTAGGTACTGTCTGATTATAGTTCGGGAAGCTCCACCCAGTCAGATTAAAGTTGGTATAAGCTTCCTTGTATCTGAAAATGTTTAGCAAACCTCAAAAGTCTTGGTTGGGATCGGGACTTACGTCTCGATGTAAGTGGCGGTCGGGAATTCGGGGGGATCACACCCAATGTTGTGTGCATTTGAGGGTTGATAGACGCGAATATAGTCAATCAACATGGTCGTGGGGAACTGGAGGTTCTCGAAATCAATCCCCCCGAAATTGAGTGAGAATCCAAGGTTGGCAATGATATACTACATAGTGTGGTCAGTATTTTCATGCTCGCTGCGAGAAAAGTTGTTATGATACCATTGGCTCCTGAGGGATGATACGTGCACCAATCTCGGTCTCAGTATCAGGCCCAAGTCCACCAGAATAAATTGTCCAGACGGCCTGGCCGCTACTGATCCAAGTGATGTATCCAGCATCGAACCTGAAGATATATGTGAGCAGAGCGTAGATTGTGGTCGGACTTCTCCAAACCCTGGTTTGTATTCAAACCCATAGATGCTGTAGCAACCCTTATCTAGCTCGTAGCAGTCTTGGTCCGTGAGCGAGAGACCACTAGTAGTTTGTTGATACGCTCCTGCAATGCAACTGTTGGGTACAAATTGGGCATGAAGAATGAGCGCATACCCCCATGGTAAGGATTCAGGACAGTCATGTCTGAATTATAAATCTGTAGATTGTCGGAAGTGTTCAACCATTTGTATCCCGCCTGAGAGAGTCAATAACAACCCAAATAACCACAATCCAGACCTACATTGAAAGGAGCCCATTGTGCTGATTGGGAGACCTTCATGAATTTGTGAGTCAACGCTGATTGAAACTTGGAGTAAGCGAACCTTCCCAATCCCACCATCGACTGTCGCCTCGAAGATATCGATCTCCGGCGCGGAACGGCCGACATAGTCGCCGTTTGCACGGACTGGACCGGGATGTGATTCACCAGGGCAGGTACAAGCTGACAGTCGTTGACCAGGTAAAAATGACTGCAAAAGATAAATGAAGATCTAGGACGAAAATTCGTGCAGCGAACTAACTAAGACGTCACCATGGTTAGGATCGCCGTTCTGTACAGCAGCGAGCGGTTTGGATGTCCCAGGATAAGTTTGATTTGGTAACGTGCCAACGTCACAGCTGTCATATGAGTATGGCCACTGGAATAGTCTGATTAATATGACCTCTTCGATAGAGGTTTACACACCAATCCTTCTAAACTAGCACCGAAACCTGCACGACCTTTGGCAATGGTTGGTTTAAATACTCAAAGCGACGAGACAACAATGCACGAACCTAGATTTCCCATTGTCCAGCTTGATAGAAAACATTAATCACGTTCCCATATTGAAAAATCTAAACTCACACAGCAGGCCAAAGACCACTTTAATGGCAGGTGTTCAGCAGGACGCAATGATCTTAGAGCAGCTTACTTACTGGACATTGTTAGATCCCGGTAGGATAACGGAAGCTACATCTCAGTGATCAGCAGATATCGGCAGTAAACAACACATGTAGCTTACTCTCAATGAGGCCACCTGTGAAACAGAATTTATTCCTTTAGGCACTCGTTAGTGTCGAAGGTAACATAGAATCGAACTCGTTACCATGTTTGGACCTACAAGATACTACGTCCCTCAGTATGCCATGATGAGATGATCTTGGCTTACCATGCCTGACTTGTACGTAAGATTGTGGTTCGAAGCAGGATCAACCTTTGCCAACGTGATTTGCAATGCGCCCCCTTTCGTCGTTACTTGGCTTGGATCGTACCATTCCAAATCATCCTGTTCGATGTTTTCAGTCCCATACAATCTATCTGCGCGACCTTGACTGACCGTGCCCCAGTAGTGCAAGTTTGGAGCCTCCCAGTATGGATCGTCTCCAGGATAAAATGACCGTCCTTCAACTTGAAACTCGTCAGAGAAAACAAGGTCCCACATGTCGTTTTGGTTCATATACGATGCCTTCGTGTAGGCTTCCTTCGGAGTATCGACGTCTATGACGCCACGGTTGCCAGGCATCGATGGAATCTGCCCCGTTGCGTTGGTGCCACCGAGATTGAATCCATTCTGAGGAGTTGGCTTCTTCCTAGACAA